TTGACTGGACTATTTAGCAACAGCACATATTTATAGATTTAGTGTTGTTAAGTACTGGAACCACAATTCAAACAATCGGCTTGAAATTTTTTACTAGAAATTTTTAGGGTTCACCAATTAAAAATTTATTGTCATATTCGTAATCAGCGACCTTGAAAACCCCTGAGTAACGATTTTTAAGCGAATCTGAACAAATTTTAAAAAAAGTTATCCTCCATATTGGATCCGACATTTTTAATTTTTAGAAACGGATATCGGATTCGTAATCAGCGATCCCAAAAACCTCTGAGTAACAAATTTTAACAACTTAGGTCAAATTTTAGGATTTTGGCCGCCATATTGGATCTGCTATTTTGAATTTTTGAAACTTGACATCGGATTCATAATCAGCAGCCACAAAAAGACCTAAGTAGTAACTTTTATGAGTTTACCTAATTTTTTTGCGCTATATATGGTATAATTTGTTCATTTAGGGCAAAACCAGGATCCATTGGCCAAATTCTGATGGCGGATTCAGATTCAGCGCATCATAATACATAGGAATATATAAGTCTCGACTCCAGATCAAGACGCTTTCTTTTTGTGTGGCTGCGTAAGTCATTATTGGAACTTGTCAATTTGTCAATAGACGAGAGTAAGTCCTTCCATCTCTGTTCATCGGAAAGAGAGGCAGAAGTAACTGACATTGTCGAATGTTTACAAAAAAAGACAAAGCACTTGATACTTCAATAATGATTAAAGTTTGAAACAAATAAACGCAAAGAAAAAATTTTTTCATTACGAAAACTTTCACTGTTTAAGATATGGGCATAAAATCAGGTATACACTTGCATAAAACGCAACGACAAATTCAAGGAAAATGTTTCAGCGACTGGACACAGAAAACTAAGTCAAAAAGATGGGCTAAACAGCAGAATAGGTACGTAAAGAGAGAAGTTGTCTTCACTATGTGACAAGTAGTGATGCCAACTGTATACAAATTAACGCGCGAAATTTAAATTCTTTCAAATATTTACCTTCAAAAATTTTACTTTTTTCCCACCCGACTTTGTCCGCAGAATACTTTCAACCATATCCGACCCCCCCCCACTCTAAGGTTTCCTTAAAATATGTAAACGAGCGAAACTTAACGCGGCCAAAGGGCCCACTCGTTTGCATATTTTAAGAAAACCTTGTAGAGGGGGGGGGGGTCGGATATGGCTGAAATTATTTTGCGGACAAAGTCGAGTGGGGACCGCAGCTTAAATATTGAATTGGAATATATTTTTTATTTAATATTACACAGGTTTACAAATTTCAAATTTTTTTTGTTACTCGAACAAAACAGTTTTTTTCGATTAATATGTGTTTTTTGAGTAAGAAAATCATATTTAAAATTTTTTTCCCTCGTGCAATTTTTTTGGAACAGCAAATTATGCATTTTCGAGGTGTGACGTCACATAAAGTCACCGGTAGAGAAAGCAGTTAATCCAAATGTAAAAAATAAATCACCATTTGAATGATAATTAAATTACCTCTCAAACCATTGGTCAACCAATAAAATCCATTCAAAATTGTCAGAGTTACAGTCGATCAAAGTTCAAATTTCAATCAAATTTTAATGATTTTTAGACATTCGTCTAACTTTTGCTAATTTTTTCAAAGTCAAACAACCAAAAAAATGCAGGTTTTAAATTTTTTATTAATAGTATATTTAATTATGAAACTTTTAAGCCTTTATAGACCTCGATCGGATAAAAAATGACAATTCTACACTAGATTTATTGAACAAAGTACTTTTTCACTTTTAGTATATTTTCAAGTGATTTCGATCTATATCAGTTTTGTATAATACTAAGTTAAGCAAAGATCACCAAAATGAGTACTCGGGGGTTTTCGTAGTCGCTGATTACGAATCTAAGGTCAGCTTTTCAAAATTCATAATGACGGATGCCGTATATTATAATTTTATTTACGTTATCGCGTAGTGACAATATCTATAGTCTGGTTTGATTTTATTTCCAATAGTAATATTTTTCATATAATTGGAAACTCCCTTACGAAAACTCCCGTGTACTCTTTTTGGAGTACTTAGCTCTAATTATTAAAACTTTGTCCGCCATATTGGATCCGACATTTTGAATTTTCAAAAACTGAAATCGAATTCGTAATCAGCGACCTCGAAAACCTCCGAGTACTCATTTTGGTAAGCTTCGCTTAACTTAGTTTTATACAAAACTGATGTAGATCAAAATCACTTGAAAATATACTAAAAGTGTAAAAGTACTTTGTTTAATAAATCTAGTGTAGAATTGTCATTTTTTATCCGATCGAGGTCTATAAAGGCTTAAAAGTTTCATAATTAAATATACTATTGATAAAAAATTTAAAACCTGCATTTTTTTAGTTGTTTGACTTTGAAAAAATTAGCAAAAGTTAGACGAATGTCTAAAAATCATTAAAATTTGATTGAAATTTGAACTTTGATCGACTGTAACTCTGACAATTTTGAATGGATTTTATTGGTTGACCAATGGTTTGAGAGGTAATTTAATTATCATTCAAATGGTGATTTATTTTTTACATTTGGATTAACTGCTTTCTCTACCGGTGACTTTATGTGACGTCAAACCTCGAAAATGCATAATTTGCTGTTCCAAAAAAATTGCACGAGGGAAAAAAATTTAAAATATGATTTTCTTACTCAAAAAACACATAATCGAAAAAAACTGTTTTGTTCGAGTGACAATTTCACTGTAAACCTGTGTTATTTATGTATATTTAAAAAATATAGTTTACTTCGTAATGATCTGAGTTTTTATTGCCAAAAGGATCTGCTCGTCGGATGGAGTCCTGGTACCTATTTTGACTAGTTACTTTAAATCTTGGTAGATGGCGTAAAGCGCCAACTATGTTTTGATTAATTTCGGAACTATTTCTTACTATGATGTAGAGGAGAGGTGTACTCATTGACGAGTCTTTATTTAAACCTTCGAAAGAGAATATATTGTTTAAATAAAAGAATAATAAAATATACAAAAATGAAGTAGTACATAAAATAATATGAACAAAAGAATCTATACAATGCAAATAAAATACTAAACTCTAGAAAACATTACGATAAAAAGAACTAGCTATTCTAGTGGAGCGTTCGCTGATGCTTCGATGGCGCTTGTTATCATCTAGAATAAATCGGATTTTAATATAGTTAACACGTTCGCGAAGATGTTAGTCAAGACGACGAAGCTAGATATTGGATTCGGTTCCAATATCCATGCCTAACGCGAAGCTAGTGCAAAGTAATATTCACTAGGTGTCTCCTCCACCCGAGAGGCGCCTCGAGAGAGACAGAAGCATCTCCACTCGGCAAGGATGCTCCTGGTAGATGTGTGTAACCCGGTTGGCCAGTCTTCCACGGACGCACCCATAGGAAGTCTGGTTAACCAGGTGGAAGGAGGGCGGAGGGTGTTACTGTTCCGCAGGAGCGCCTACAGGAACAAGTACAGCTCCTTCTAGGAAGTGAGGAAGGCTCTGGTGTTCAGAGAGACGCACCTCTACTTAGCACCAGGTAGCCAGGAGTGAGTCGCTTCCAGTTGGTCAGACTGGCACCTCTAGACGAATCGGAAGAAGACTAAGGAAAAAGGTGCGAGACGAAAGGTATTGGCGATTCAAACAGCTACACTAGCGCCACAGTTGAACTAACTTAAGCGTGACTCGCTCTGTAGCACTCCATGTGTTTTAAATTATTTTTTTTTATTTAACGCTTAAAAATTATTTTACAAACGCAATAAAAATATCAGAATAATTAAATAATTTGAAATAAACTGTCGAAACAGAGACTGCTTTAGAGCGAGTCACGCTTATGTTAGTTCAACTGTGGCGCTAGTGTAGCTGTTTGAATCGCCAATATCACTAGCAGCTAGTTGACAGCGAGTGGTGGGAGAGGAGATGGACACTACTACTTACTCTGTCTACTTTATTCTCTATAGTTGGCATCACTACCTGTCATATAGTGAAGACAACTTCTCTCTTTACGTATCTATTCTGCAGTTTAGCCAAAAGATGAAACTGATCACAACACTAACAGAAAATTCACAAGTCACTGCACGAAAGGCAATAAAAAGCACAAGACAGCAGTCTTGCAGATGAACTAAACTGCAATTCAGATTCTCAAAAAGTTACCTTTGAAACAAATAAATAAATTTTAACAATTAAAACAGACTAAAAAACACGAGCTCGTGAGGAAACAACCTTACTCGACAAAAGCTCGAGCGAAACTAAAATAAAATAACTTTCTATTAAAATAAGAATTATCATGCTGGTCATAAATTTTTTGTCTGCGTTCTAATAGTATAAAAAAGAAACGCCCCACTACCTCAATTTGGGTCAATGGAAATTTGTCCGACTCCATCTGAATAACAGACTCACGAAGTATCAACCTGATGATACTAAATAAAATGATTGCATAAAATTAATGACTTTAGAGTGTCCTACTATAAATGTGCCCCACCCAAATTGTCCGACAAGATTGCCACTTTATTTTAAATAATTTTATTGAACGATTCTCTAAAAATCAGCTTGCTGATTGTAAATTAAATAATTTCAAAAATTTGTCCTGCACGACGTGTCTAACTGACCAAATTACCCAACATTTTTGTCCGACATAATGATATCCTCTTTATGTATGAAAATAACTTACTACTAAATAAGGATTAACATGCTGGTGATAAATTTTTTGACTGCGAAAACTGATGTATTTTTTATGGTACAAAAAAGAAACACCCCATTACCACAGATTGGTTTAATGGAAATTTATTCTCTCCATCTAAAAAAATCACACGGAGTTTTGACCTCCTGTTAATGAAAAGCGTTTTTAGGCAAGGGCCCATAGACTATAAATTTTACTTTCTCACGCCATTCCTCATAATAAAAAATGGTGAATCTCAAGCAGAAGTACAAATCATATATTATTTAAGCACTTTTTGTCTCCGTATCATATATAATAAAATCTTATTTTTCAGCGCATGTTGATAATGAAGTTTACCTGGGTCGTGCACTAGAAAGATTAGGTGACGCTGCATTAAAAGAACAAGAACCTGACATTGGCGCTGCTTTTCTAAAGTTTGCTGTTGTAACCAAAGAACTCAGTGCATTGATGAAAACATTGGTATGCAAGTATAATTTACTTTTATCAAAAGAAACAAGTATTATATTAAATATAATAATTATCAAATAAAAAGACCTGGAAGAATTTCCTTTTATACTTATTATATACAAAAATCTTCTGTACAAAAAAGCATGTACGGGAGTGTCCCTGGTTGTACAGCAGGTTTCGTTTTTTATCCATAACTTATAATTGGATTATCCAATTTTGATTTTTGAGGTTTCATATTAAGGGGTTATACCTAGTCACGATTTCCAAAAAATCGAATTTTTTTTTCCAGTTTCTTAAAGTATATTATATTATTATATTCTACTTTACAATTTTCGTATAACTGAATATAATTCAAGAGGCATTCATTCCCTTGCCTTACAATATCACATATTTATTATATCACACATTTATTACATACTCAATGTAAACTGTTTGTGAAACTTTAAACTCGAATTTCTCAAAACTACGTTTTTTAAGTCGGTGACCACAATATCTGAAATACCGCTGAACCTATTTGGCTTAAATTTTAACACAAGCTCAATACGGTGGGCCTGAAGCAAGTTGCAAGGTTGCATGAAAATGACGAAAAAATGTGGGAACGCCGCTTTTTTCAGGGTTGATCATACATCAAGAAAATGTTTCGACCGAAATCGTAGCTGATCCTTTTTGAAAAATATCAAAATTTTTCATTTTGTAAATCGTGTAATAAGCATTTCTTCAGTATTAGCAAGATGCGTTTGTTTATATATATATATATACTAGGGGGCTATGCCCCCTGCGCGCTTCGCGCGCCAACCCCCATCCTCTCTTCCCTTCTTTTCCCCTCCCCCCACCCTTAATTTAAAGGTTAAGATCGTTTCAAGACTCTGAATATAGCCGTAAATCCCCCTCCCTTTTCATCTACCCCCCTTCTCTTGACTTCCGGCTATATTCAGAGTCTTGGAACAGCGGCGGAAGCGGCTTCGCGCGCCAACCCCCATCCCCCCTCCTCTCTTCCCCTCCCCCACCCTAAATTTAGAGGTTAATATCGTTTCAAGACTCTGAATATAGCCGCAAGTCCCCTCCCTTCTCTTCTACCCCCGTTCTCTTGACTTGCGGCTATATTCAGAGTCTTGGAACAGCGGCGGCGGCGGCGTTGGCGGCGATATCTTTTTGTAATATAGGTAGATATGCATATTTTTTAATGTTTCACATTGATGATCTGTATTTTAGATATGTTTATAGATAAATTTTTTGATTGTAGAATCCATAACAAGGATGGGTCATTCCATGTCAAGTGTACCCAACCCATGTTCTTGACAAGGTTAGGTAAGGGTTAGCCAACCCATTTTTACATTCTCATCATAATGAGAAAGTATTACATTTGCCCGATTTTGACCAATATCTAATTCTTGTGAATCTCCACGTTTCAAGACATCCTGATGCCAAAAAAATAGGTTTTAAACAAATGTTTGTCTGTATGTATGTATGTATGTCTGTATGTCTGTAGACAAAAAAGTTGTCTCGACGATAACTTGAGTAAATTTTAATTAATCGACCTCAAATTTGGTTTGCACTTTAAGTTCACCAAAATTTCGCCTGAGTTCGTAGGGCAGACAATTTCGTCAAAAAACAACAAAATTATTCAAATTTTTAATTTTCAAAAATTTTTAATTTTCAAAAATTTTTATTTTTCAAAAAAAAAATTTTTTAAATTTTTTTTTGAAAAATGTGAGTCAAATGAAACACTTTTTTCCTTTAGCATTTTTTGATTCGAGTGAAAACAAGAAAGTTACACAATTTTTTATAATTTTTAATTTTCAAAAATTTTCATTTTTCAAAAAAAAATTTTTTTCAATTTTTTTTTGAAAAATGTGAGTCAAATGAAACACATTTTTCCTCTGACAATTTTTAATAGCGATTAAAACAAAAAAATTATACCTATTTTTTTAAAAAAAGACAAAAAAAAACAAAAACGGATGAAAAATGGGTAAAATGCAGAGCAAAATCACTTTTTTTTTTGAAAAAATGTGTTCAAATATGTATTATTTCTCTTTAAACCACCTTAAATTAACACAAATAACAGTGACTTACTCATAAAGTTCCAATTTTTTTTTTTATAAGTCCAACTATTGTTTTCCATTTCCAAACATTGCTATTGTTTTCAAAAAATCCTCTATTTTAAAATACTTTATATTGCGCTGTTTATACCATAATTTCGTATTTTTTCGATTATTTACTTTTGAATTAGTTAAAATTCATTTATTTGTAGATTTGTAAACTTTTTTTTCTTTAACACTTTTCGATACAGATTAAAACAAAAAAGTTAAAAAAGTTATGTTCTATAACGATTAAGGTAACAAAAATTTTAAAATATTTTCGATGTGTTATTTTACTCATTAATTTTTTGCGGACCAGTTTTAACCTATTTTGCCACCTTTTCTTTTAGCAACTTTCCTCTCTAGATTTAAAGTTTTTGAAACAGTATTCCTAAAACATTTTTTCCACTATAACGAAAGCATTGTGAAGTGAAACAAAAAAAATAATAAGTGTAGCAGGCGAAATTATAAAGAATTAAAATTAACTAAGTATAAACATTGCTATTTTTTAAGAGAAAATTCATTTTTCAACAATCTTTTTAACAAATTTAAATAAATCTTTCTACTCCTTGGTTTTTTAGGTCGCTCATTACGATTCTGAAGTCAGTTTTTAAAAATTCAAAATGGCGTATTAAAACATTTTTGACGCGATATTTTTAGCATTTAAAGGTATTCTGAAGGGATAAGATTTGAAAAAATTGTAAAAACTGAACAAAAATTCTAAAAAAATCTTTTTTTCGCCATTGACATGAAAAAGTGTCTTTTTTGTGCCTGTTTTGGGCAGATAAAGTAGCACTTTTTAAGGCAGTTTGGGCCAACTGCCTAAAAAAGACTTTTTTAGGCAACTGCCCTATAAAGACTTTTTTAGGCAGTAAACTGCCCTATAAAGTCTTTTTTAGGCAGTTGTTAATTTTTGCATAATTTTTGTAATAATATATTATATATAATATATATATATATATATGTATATATATTTCTTTAAAATTGTTTCACTTTTTCATAACAATGGCGAAAAAAATAGCGTATGTGGCTCGCACGTAGTAATTTTTAGGTTCGGATGATTTCAATACTCGCTGTCTGTGCGACTTCGGTTCGACTTGGCTCGCTTTCGGCTCGACTCGCCTTCGTCTCACCTACGTCGCACTAACGACAGCTCGTACTCAAATTACCTGTAAAAATTTCGTTAATGGGTTAATGCATGCCTCCTTTTCCTATTGTATCTTTCTAATTTTCAAGCGTGAAACGCGAGTGCCGTGATGAGAATGTTATCCTTAAAGTCAAAGTACTTTAAGAAAATGAAATTTAATTTATAAAAACCAAAAGTTTCACTTATATAAATTGTACAAAAATTTTTTTATGAATATGAATAAAAACATGAGAGCGAAACCTCATATAATAAATTTGTTGCTTTAAAAAATGCATTTACTTTAAAGTTCTTTTTTTTAGTGTTTTTAAATTGTCAATTAATTTTTTCTTTTACTCAATTGAAATTAGCTCAAAGCGGAATATCTTATTTTAGTAAATAATTTGGTTTGTCGATTTTCGTTAATTACAAAGACCTGGCCAATCCACGGCGCAATATAAAGGAACTAAGTTTGAACAGCTACAGTGCCGTCATTCTCTTTTTTTGCCCGATAAAAAATTTATTCTAATACCTTTAAACCTTTCTAATAAATTTTTCAAAACAAGTCGATTATATGAAGATCCCCTTTTAAAATAACTACTTTTTACTTATTTTAACTCTGTGTGTAATTAATTTTACTCTTTTTAATAAAATTAATAAAAATAATTTCTTTCTTCTTGACATTTTACTTCAAAATTAATTAAATCAACTACAAAGTCTGAATCAACTACAAAATCTCATTCTACCAAATAGATTCTTGGGTCATTCAACTACTTTCTGGTAGTATAATTAATACAATTTTTAAATTTAATAGGAAAATTTTTGTATTACAGAGAGTAGTTAAAAAGTAATTAATGCTAATAGGTTTTGAATTGTAATAAACAAACAAAGCGCGCGAATCGCGTAATAATATCGGACCGCGAAGCGGGACGATCATCCTTTGCGCGCCCCGGGGCGGTTGGTTGAGAATGTGGCCGCCCCCGCAGGGGGCTGCCAGATTTTTTTACATGGATAGTACAATGGTTGGTTACACTTGATATGGAATGACCTATATGAATATAGCCGCAAATCACCCCCTTCTCCCCCCTCTCCTCTCCCCTCCCTCGCAAAAAATGATCTAAATTTTAAGGTTATGTTCGTTTTAAGACTCTGAATAGGGCCGCAAGTCCTCCCCCCTTACTTCCCCACTCTCCGTATTTCCCACCCAAAATGACCTATATTTTCAAGTTATGTTCATTTCAAGCCTCTAAATATAGCCACAAGTCCCCCCTCTCCCGCCAAAAATGACATAAATTTTGAGGTTATGTTCGTTTCAAAACTGAAGAGGGCCGAAAGTCCTCCCCTCTCTCCGTATTTCCCGCCAAAAGTGACCTAAATTTTGAGGTTATGTTTATTTTAAGACTCTGAATAGAGCTGCAAGTCCTTCCCCTCGTCCCTAATCTTTCTCCGTATTTCCCGTCAAATATGACAAATTTTAAGGTTATGTTTATTTAAAGGCTTTCAATATAGCCGCAAGGGGGAGGGGAGGTGGATTTTCCGCCAAAATTGAACTAAATTTTAAGGTTCTGTTATTTTGGCGGGAAACGACTAAGAAACAAACATAACCTCAAAATTTAGGTCAAAATTTGGCGCAAAAAGACAAAGAAACAAACATAACCTCAAAATTTAGGTTTAACTTTGAAGAAAAATGACCAAAAAACGAACATAACCTTAAATGTAAGACAAATTTTAGCTGGAAAATTTAAGAATTTAGATAAATTTTGTTTTGAAAATTGAAAATAATCGGATTGTTCTGGCCAGTTTCTTGTCTG